TTTGTAAAGGACCAACCTAATGTGCCTCTTCCAACAAACCCCTTCTGATAAGTACTACTCCACACTACTGCACCCTCCTTTCATTTTATTTTTATCTTGAAAACAGTATATGTGTGTGCACGTGAGCGCTGTAGTTGCCCATGCAGGCATTTGATACAGTGAGGTTTTGATTCTGTCTCCACAAACAGGAGGGGTGGAAATGTCATGTGTCTCCCTGTATTCTCAAAGACCACAATATAGGGACAAGATGCACACATAAAATCAGACTTTATTTAGAATATTTCAGAAGAATATACCAAGGACAGATTAACAGCACCTATTTAAGAAACACAAACATTAGTTAATAATAGTTAAATCACAAATGTTAATCTCTCGGCATTCCCCAAGCAGGAGTCTGTTATTCCTGTCCAGTAATAAATGCATCATAACCAGTTTAGAACACATTCAATTAAAGCATCCAATATATGAGACCTTGACTTTGGGCAGTGTCTCTGGGACTACTGGCCCTTGGAACAGTATCAATTCATAAATTTGATTGGAATGTGAGGGGATTTCTCTTCTTGCTGAAAGGTGGACAATAAATTCCACCCCATTTGTGCACCTGAAGGTAAGTTGTGCCAATGGGAACTTGGCCCCAGGACTGTAGTTTTGAAAATCCTTTGAAAAGGCACTTTTAAATTACAAACCTTTTTTTAAAGGAAATGTTTAAATTTAAAATGGAAAATATTAAAGAGAACTGTTTTATTGACTGAGTGCAGTTTTCCTATTGTTCTCAGTCTCAAAATAGCACATGAAATTTGCTGTTAAAGGCAGTTTTAGAAATGATTTAATGAGTATATATATATTTTTATATATCCTCTTATAATATTTTTGTTCTCAAAATATAATAAAATAATCTCAGTTCTTTTGCAAATATATTTGATCTACAACTGTAACTCTTCAAACACCTGAGCTGCAACCCCTGCCCCCCTCCCACCCCCCCCCCCCGATCCCAAGAATTCTCACTGTCTCTTTATCAATACTGCATCTAGCATGAGACAGCCAAAGGGGGAAAAACAACAGAGCATCCTTTTTCTGGGGTTTGGCACTTCTCTAGGAAGGCAGGGATGCTCATAATACGGATCAGCTAGATGCAAGTCCAATAACGTCCCAATCAGGTACTGGCTCCTGTTTAGGTCTTGAAGCTGCAGTGTTCATTTCATCCTGCTATCAGGACTCCAATAGCCTGTCCTGGGGTTCTTGCTCTTGTATGGGGAAAGGACTGTCTTCTTTGATTTTGCATTCTACACAATGAAGAAAACACGTATACCAGTGCCAGGTGTATTGTGGAGAACTGCCAGCAAGGACTTCAGCCAAGATGATAATTTACTTCACATTGATTACCAGTTGTACCAGAATAAGTTCTTGCTTGTCACCTACCAGGGATTAAAGGAATGAAAGGCACCTCTTCCTGCCACACCATCTCGGAGCCATCTTACATATCCTGTAGTATACACTTTTAAAGGTAAATAAATGTACTATGTTCTACTTCAAAAATTGTAGGTCACGTATAGAGTAATGCATGCATTTTGTTAACTAATTTTACATGTACACATCACTCACTTTTTACTGATGACACTAGCTATGAGCACAATACAATCTACTATCTAGCACCTTATCTCCAAGAACACATTTTATATACAGTTAGAGCTTACATTTAGAAGAAATACCACAAAAGAACACAGCACTGACACAAGAGAAAAGTACCAATTTTCAACAACGTTGTAACAGATGAAGAGGGGAAATCCACTCAAGTTTGAAGCACCAAACTAAAATCAATCTTGTTTTTGTCTCATTTAGAGCAAAAGAAATACAGCAATTAATCTTCACACAGCAAACTTCCTTGCATGCACAAGTTGCTGTGGTTTCCCCTTTAGTGTGTATACTATTAAGATATGGATGCGTTGGGAGGCAATGATGGAAACCTAACTCCTATTGTCAACCTTCATTCTCCTTGAGGATTCTTACCCTACTTACCAAAAAGCAGTGAACTTGCCAGTGACCTGGCAGTGGCCAAGTTCAGCATATTTGAGTTTTCCTGTTTCTTCCTCTAACCAGTTTTGTAGCTTATAGCCCCAGTGTGCTAATACTCATGTTAAATATTTTACACTGAGGAAGATACCGAATGTAATTGGAAAGGTTGTCTGTTCTTCCAGGGTTTTAGACGCTAGTCTGTTGTTTCCAGATCATGCTTCTGTCTCCTCATGCCTAAGATTGGGAGTGGTTTGGTGCCTTCAGAGGAAAAAAAAAACTGGAGACACAGTGTTTAAAGCCCTGACTGACCAGAATTCTTAGCTTGGCCCTTAGCTTTGCTGAAATGATTGGACAGTATCTACAACACTGAATGTGCTTTCAAAATATTCTGGGTGGTTTTATTGTTAAGAAATGAGGTTCCTATTTTCTTGTAAACCCTAAAGTGACATCATTCCTCACCTGCTGAATTTGAAATAGACATCTTACCATTTCTAAATCAGATTGGAGTTGGGCATGTGACAAATACCTTTAATTTCTGATCACGCCTATGATTTTCTTTCCTTGCTTCATCCATGGACACCACATCTCTATGAATCAAGCATGGGCTTTTCTTGAAGGGCCCAAATGACATGGGGAAATGGAGTGAGGCAGGTGAGGGCAAGGGACTTGGTAGCAAGAGGTAGGCAGGGATCTGGAAATGTGTAATAGCTGATGTTTGTAGTGCCTCAGAGAAGATTTCTGACATCATAGATGTAACAGAAACCCAATGCTTTGTCTTTATTAGTGCCTTCAAACTTGTTGAAATTGGTATGTTAAAGCACCCATGACTCCTCTATTACTCCTAAATAAGAAAATCGTTGAATTTAAAACATATCATGTCAAAGTCTGGCCTGCCTAGACTCCATAATTTAATGGAATCTTTTTTTAACTGATAAAATATATCCTTTAAAACATTTTGATAAAGTGATTGTACATGATGATCTGTGTACATGATGATGACTTTTTGTGTGATTTTATATTTTAAATGGCAAAACAGTGTGTGTAGTAAAAACTCATTAAGTCAATAGTTCTTTGTTCAAACAGCACAAAACTTGAAGCAATTGCTATCTCCATGCTAAGTAGAAGCCCTATTGTTCATTAAAAGAAAATGTCATCAACACAGAATGCCTTTAATTCAAGGGTTGTCCTTCCTACCTTTTTTCAAAAGGTCTTCACCTTTGAAAAATCCAATTTTCCAAAGAATGGACAGCAAATAAAAGAGGGAAAATTGAACTGTGCTAGGAGGAGGTGAGTCTCCACACCCTGAAAGATGTTGTGTGTGTTATTGAATGGACTTACCACATTTGAACAGGTTCTGGTTCCATTTGGATTTTGGCAAACAATTTTCTTTGTTACACTTTGAAGGGGCTGATCTTTAAAAATAAAATAAGAAGTTCAATTTCGAAAAACTGTTGGAAACACATTTGTAATGCTGTGTGTGTGTGTGTGTGTGTAAGTATATAAGCATTTCTAATTATAGGATAGGCATCTCCATCTTTGAACACCTCTGTTTCAAACCTGCAAGATGATGCCCCTTCTCCCACAAGAAAACTAATCAAACAAGCCCCAGGTATCTCTTAAGGATGGGCCAACATAACTTTAGTGATAAATCAGTGTAACCAATTTTTGATGATTCATTTGGTATATCAGTGTTGATGGAAAAGTAAATGGTGGTGTGAGGGTTAACTTTAGATACCATGCCTTGTCTGAGACCATCACAAGTTCCAAATTAGTGGAGTTGAAGTCAATAAAGTTCTTGTGGAATACTGATCTGACAGGTCAGTTCAATAGTATTTAGTTCTATCAACTCCCCTGCATTTTGAATAATAATAATAATAATAATAATAATAATAATAATAATAATAATAATCCCACATTCCCATACACACTTATCCACAGCCATTTACCTGTCCCCCCTTGAGAAGCTCATGCTGAAATCTGTGAGGAGGAAGAGATAAAATATAAATGAATTGGGCATTTATAAGTGAAAGATTGAACTCTAATAAAGACAAGGTAACACTAGAATCTTAACCTCTGACTATGGTTACCATCATATACAAAGTCCTTGCTAGTTATTGTGAAAGTATCCTTTGTCATTTCTGACACTTACATTCTCCCCTGCATTTGTGCCATTCATACCTGAATTTCTTTTCTTTTTTTAACCTGAAAATACTGTTTAACCAAAAAGTCAATTTGAAATGAAACAAAGTAAAACACGAGTGGTTGGCAGAGATCTGGAGAATTCTTGTGAGCATTCCAACTCGGTCACAGAAGAGAAGTAGCAAAATAGCAGTCCGGTTTCTTTCCTGCTGTTACTCAAATAGGAGACAGAAAATATTTGTGTCAATTAACAATTTTCCATTTGCACAGAGGTCAGTCCCAGCCCACGTAGAAACCCAGGGTAGGGGAGGATAGAGGAAGAGAGGAGAGGAGAGAGAGGGAGAGGGAGAGGGAGAAGGAGAGATATGATTGTTTAGCTCCATGGATATGTCTTAGTTCTTCATTTCCTTCTTTGAACTAACTCTCCATTTCATGTATGTCCTTTTCTAGATCCTTTTTAGAGAACCTAGAAGCATTCTTTACAGTCTAACTGCATAATTCCACTTTGTTGAAGTTTTCACTATAGTCTTTGCACCATATTGTGGGGCTCTTCAGTACAGAAATTGGCTCATACGATGATCAGTCCACCTAGCTCTGCTTTGGGGGCTCCAAAAAGTTATTTGATCAGTTGCTTTTCTTTCAGTTGAACACAGTCTATAGCCCCAGCCCATTAGTTCTTGACCTGCAGGTCAAATAGCTCTTATGTCCACAGGCATCACTTTCCCTTTTACTCAGAGCTAAAGCTGCCATTGTGTCGCCATTTTGTAGCTCTGGGGATGCAGGCAAAATACAAAGAACAGTTCCAAACCAGATAGCCCTTGTTTTAGGAAATTTGGAGCCTAATATGGTAGGAATCCTCAAGTCCATTCCTTAATGGGCTTTACCTTTCAGAAAAGATCCAAGTCTCTACTTCTTCCTTATATTTATCTGCCTTGTGGTGGGAAAGGATGCATGTGCAACACCTTGGCCTGAAATGATAAGGATTGGCACTAATGACATTGTGGGTGGTGCACTGAAAAGAAAGCCGCTTGTGTTTTCTGTCGTATGGACAGTTAAAAGTTTGCCTTAGAAGTAACTTTTAAGGTGAAGTCGCAGAATCGCGGGAGGGGACAACCTTGCCTTCAGTGCCAGCTTCGGTTTCATGTAGGTTACGGCGGTTGTTCTCTTCAGAGGGATTTTTCTTACAGAATAACTTCTTCAGAACCTCCTGGATTTCCTTCTTGATGGCCTTGTGCATGTAACCATAGACATAAGGGTGGATACAGCACTGCAGGAAGAAAAGCCAGATTATTATGGTGATCACCCACTGAGGTACCTGGGTTTCGACATCCACCCACACAGCCAGCACAGCCAGAAAGCAGTAGGGCCCCAGAGACAGCACATAGGAGAAAATGATGAGGAAGATCACTCTGGCAGCTTTGCACTCATAGCACCGGGGCAAAGGTGGGTTGCTGTAGCTGTTCCGACGACTCGCTGGGAGGCTCTCAGGGATGTTCACTGCCTCGACATCATCCTCACTGAAATGGACGTCATCCATGCCAAACTCTATGTCATCTTCACCCAAATCGATGCTGCACTGATTAACATCTAAGCTGCCAGTGTCTGCCATGGTGCTGCTCACCTGCACTTCGCTGCTGCCTTCCAGACCTTCCATGCTGCTATTACTGCCCTTGGACTCAGAAATACCTGCACTTAAATCTAGGCTTCCTTCTCTAGCCTTCATGATGATGTCCTCGGCTTCCATGAGATCCTCTTCCACCTTGATGCTGCTTTCCTTGGTCCTGGTCTCCCCTTCACCTTGGTACTGGAATTCATTCTCATCCTGGAACTCATCCCTCTTCTTTATTCGCCTCTCATTGTCAGTCTTCACAGACTCCTTGGCTCTCACCCCCAAGCTTCGGCTCTTGACGTTGTACAGCAGAGCATGCTGCCGGCGGGCTGCACCAAACACTACAGAATAGCAGGCAATCATAACAACCAGTGGAACAACAATAAAGGAGACCACACTGATAATGGTATAGCTTGGGCTGGCTCCCCAGATCATGGAACAGAGGGCATTACGGTCATCAAAAGTAGCCTGGCCCCAGCCATAGAGAGGAGGTGTGCTCTGCAGAATAGCCATAAACCAGGTGCCATAGAGGAGGCCATAACCACGTCGGTTGGTCATCTTGGATGGGTAGGAAAGAGGGTGGATGATGGACAGATAGCGATCAATTGACACTACCACTATGGTATTGACACTAGCAAAGGCAAATAAGTGGGTGAGGCTAACCAGGGCTGTGCAAAAGTGGATGTTGAGAGGCCAAAAGATAGGAATGGAGGTGGCCATCACCCAGGGGGCCACGAGAGTAATCTGCAGCAGGTCAGTGACGAGGAGATTGAAGATGAACCGGTTGGTCACCTGCAGCAACTGTGGCTTACGGTGCAACACATAAGCCAGCACTACGTTGCCCACAAAGGATACACTGAGGAAGGCGAACAGCACAGTGGCTCGGATGATGCCATGAGCTAGACTAATAGGCATCTTGGAGAGGGGCATGCACACTTGGCTGCTGCTGTTGTTCTCTTGAGTGTTGTTGGTGCAGGTGGATGTCATGGTGATGGCAGGCAGGCAGGAGCCAAGGTGCAGCTCAGTGTCGGCACCAGTGGGCAAGGAGACGTGCAGCCTGCACGCTATCTATACTGAGGGTGAGAGAGAAACATGTGGGCAGCGTTAGTGCCTTGCAGAGACAAGCCTCTGAGCCCAGCAGCAGCAATGCAGGGTCCCTCCCTTAGACCCCTGCTTAGTCTCAACCCCAATCAGACCAGTTTCTCTGGCTCCTCTTGTAACTCTTGGGGTCTTGCTGCCACTCTGTCTTTCTTTCTCTTCCTCTTGTTAGTGCAGTGGGCACTCCCTCAGCCTGTCTCCCCCATGTCTTTTGGAGATTTGTTCTATCTCGATGACGCATGCATGTACACTGCCTGCTTAGGGAGTCTAGAGTTCTGTCTCCACTGTTTTCCTGGGGGTATTTTTCCTCATTCAAAGAGTGTATGCCCCTATTTCCACAGACACTGTCTCATCCTTCACTCTGTAATATTCCTTTTCAGTTTCTCCCTAGCACGTACATAGCCCGTCTATGTCTGGCTGTCACTGCCCTCTGTCTGATAATGCTATCTCTCCCTCCCACTCTCGGTGCTCTGTCTCTCAGTCTCTGCGCGATTTTATTTTCGTCTGGTGAACTTGCTCTGTATGTATGCTCCTCTTCTGCTTGGGTCTTTCTCTCTCTCTCTCAGAGGGTTTTCCTAACCGTCCCTTTGGGCTCCTAACACACCTGTTTGCTGTCTCTGACTCTCTTGTCTGTGTCTCTCTCAGATTTGTGTGTCTCAAGTCTCACCAAGCACCTGTGTGCCAGCTCTTTCTCACCATTCGGGGTCTCTTCCTGTCTCCCTTTACTGTCTTTCTGAGAACCTACCTTGTGTGTCTTGCCTCATCTGCCCCTCCTTCTTGGTCCCAAACACTCAGGGGGGTCTCTGTTTCTCAAATGATGCCTCTAGGTGTGTGCTCTAGTTCATCTCTGCTTCTCATTCCCACCACCCTAGTGGCATTGCCAATCTCTCGCTGCCTATTTCAATGCGCATACATCATTATCGCTCAGCATCCTTCTTTGAGAGCACCCCCTCCCACCTTAGTTTTCCTCTAGCTGGATCTTTGTCTCCTTGTACCTCTCTCTGCCGACTTTGTCTTACCATGGAAACCAGTTGCCCCCTTGGCCATCAGGGCTTTTATCGGATAAAATGCGTAGTTTCTCAATAGCGCAGTGGTGGCTGGAGCATGCAAGGTGGATACCTACTACCCTGCCTCATTTCCCCAAATCGCCATCCTCCTTATATTCTCCAGCCGGATAGGAGTCTGTATGATGGAAGGGTGGGGGTGAGGGGGGCGAGCTGAGAAGAGTGAAGAGTAGGGAAAGAGCCAGGAGGTGTGCAAGGACAGGGGTGGGGGTCTGAGAGTGACAGAATGAGATACTTGGAAAGGTACAGAGCCACAGAAGGGAAATAGACAGAGAAAGGGAGAGAGTGGCTTGGCAGGAGAACCAAGAAAGAACCCATAGGACTCTAAAAGTGGGAGAGAGAGAGAAAAGGTGGATAATGAGAGAGAGGAGGGGGCAGTAGGAGACAGGGGCACGGAGAAAGAAAAAGTTAAGCAGAATAAGAAAAAAGGTCAAGAAGCAGAGAACGCAGGAAGGAAACTAGAATTTGGGGAGATGGAGAGGACGCAGGAGAGAAAGTGCTTGGAATACGCAAGGGCTGGCTCCCGGAGAGCCCTGGCTGACTTCGTGCAACCTTAGTAACCTTCTAACCTTGGCAAAGGGTTGTCCCAGCCACTTGCACTAGGGGACAGATTGGGCTGGGGGACCCGCGGCGAACCGAGCAGAGCTCCGCAGCTTACCTGTTGCTGTTGGGGGCCTTGCGCATCAGGAGCTGAGGACCGATCCCTCGGGGCTCGCCGCGCTCAACTGGCCACCTTACGGGGCACAGGAGGCTGCGAGCTCGCACCGAGTGGAAGGGGCAGCGGGCGCAGCAGGAGCCGGGCACTGAGCTTGTGCCCGCACGTCCGACCAGCGCGCAGCGCCGCAAGCTCTGAGCTGTGGCGGGGGCGCGAGGCTTCTTAAAGCCGCGCGGTGCCCTCACCTTGCGGCACCCCCCTCCTCTCTGTCCCCGCCCGCGCTGGTGACGCACGAGGCCACCGAACCCAGAGGAGATGGGCTGGTGGCAGCGGCAGTGGGGAGGGAAGGAAGGAGGGGGGATGACTCGCAATGGACCCACACAGATTTTGTCACCCTGCATCCAGTCACAAGCACTCTGAGGCTCACAGACTGAAGCTGTCACCACGGCGAATTTTGAAGCAGACCTTATCTCCTGGTCCTTAGCCTTTGGATTTTGGGCAGGACCACTGCCACTGACTTACTTTCAGGGTCTTTATAAAGAGAGAGTAGGAGATGCTGGCCTTGACCTCTGGAGACCTCCCTCCAAATAAGAACTATCCTCAGTTCCCACACAGAAATCGCAGCTTTGATGTCAATAATTTTTTTCCCTTGCTCCCACAAACAGCAGCGTCTTTCCTGTAGGTTTCAGGACCACCGTTCCATCTAAGACAAGTTGGGTAATTATTAATCCACACTATTTGCTTGAAGTCTGCTTGCCAGTCTCTCCCTCCCTCCCTCTCTCTCTCTCTCTCTCTCTCTCTCTCTCTCTCTCTCTCTCTCTCTCTCTGTGTGTGTATGTCTCCTTCTCTCTCCCTGTCTTTGTCTGTCTCCCCATCTCTCTCTCCCTCTCCCTTCCTCTTTGCCTCCCTTTCCTTTCCTTCCTTTCGTCTTTTTCCCCTTCCTCTGCTCTCTCCCTCTCTCTCCCTCCTTTCTCCTCTTTCCTCTCCCATCTCCCCTATGCCATCTTCCTTTGTTTTCATAGGGGACAAAGCAGAACTGGAGGTTACCCCAGTCTTGTGAGATGAGTACTGCTGTTACTTTCATTTCCTAGAGACAGAGCAGAAGCCAAGTTAGATCACTCGATTTGCCCATGTGCAAGTAAATATCACACCCATTTGATTAACAAAACAATCTGCTCTCTTGAATATGTGTTCAGCATATATGCATATCAGGCCAGAGGAGGCACCCTCCTTAGGATGGATCATGTATCACTTTCATTTGACTGCTTCTTAGAGTAACTTTGTAGGCAGGAGAGGAGGCAGATTCTCTGTTATTTGGAAGTACATGGTCCAAGATAGGGCAGCATGCCAAAGTGAGGAAATACAGAAGGCTGTGTGTTATGGTATCTTATAAACAGCCTGAGAGATCTGAAGGCTATCGAGTTTGCTGTAACTTGATAACCCTGAAGAGCTGTTGAAGATCTGTTTTCTTATGAGTAATTTAGAGTATACACAAATATGCCGAAAATAATTAAATAAGTCATTATGTTCTTATCAGTCAACATGAATGCTTACATGCTAAACCATTCTGGTTCATTGATTTTTTTTTAAAGTAAGGCAATGTTATGAGATTTCTGCTATACCATGCTCTCCTAGAAGTACTGCTTATGTAGGGGAAGATGGGATACTGGATGGAGAAAGGGCAGAAAGGATGCTACCATAGGAAGCACAAGAAGGGTTCAACAGGCCACACAGAAGGGCCTAGCAGACTCTTCAGGAAAGAAGAAATTATTCAGGATTCTCTTTTCTTCCTATCACCTGCCTCTGGGACAGAGACGAGGCTAGTGCATAGTCATGTCCCAGGATGCTTTTTGCATTTCCAGTCCTGCTTTTGCTCTTAGATCATTTGTCTTTTTCTGCTAAGCCTGATTTTATCTTCCCAAGGTTGAATGGTAAAAAACCTGGTCGTTTTTCCTGGAGACAGTTTCTATGATTATCACTCACTGTTATTAATTCCCAGTCTCACACTGGCCATGGTGCAGAATCCTGGGTGGCATGCACTGTCAAGCATCAGTTGGTTCAGATTCGATTATTTTACAATTGCTTGGGAAGCAGTCAAACTGCTTGCTCCAAATGGCCAGACACAAATTCCATTCTTTCCTGCGCTTTCTTGGTTTTACTGGGGTTCTCCAGAGTGCCTTAGATTGCTGGGAAGCTGAAATAAACAGAAGAGAGCTAATCTCTGCTTACGTGATAAAGGTTGGTGTTCCAGGACCAGCTCATGAAATGTACAGCTGTATTCATGGGCAAAGTGAGGGCTGATTGGGATGGAGAGAGAAAGAGAGAGAGAGAGAGAGAGAGAGAGAGAGAGAGAGGGAGGGAGGGAGGGAGGGAGGGAGGGAGAGAGAGAGAGAGAGAGAGAGAGAGAGAGAGAGAGAGAGAGAGAGAATGTTTATTTGTGCCTGTGTTGTGGGAGAAGTCTGGGAGGGGTAAGGCAATGCAAGCAGCTTGCCTTGTCGGCACCACATACTAACAAAAGCAGGAAGAGAGCTGGAGAGAAATGCAGGCCATTTTTGTGTATGCGGAGAGGTAGGCTGGCGCTTCACCCTCAGGTGTCCCCTTTCACATCACGCCTGAGCAGACTTGGTACACTTGAATTTCAAAGACATGTAAGTATTAATTCCCTAACACGGGGCACTGGATGTGTACTGAGGAAAGTAGATTTGACTTTCAGCCTTGACAGCTCTGATTCTAGCTACCACTAGAATGCTTCCTCAGATTCTGGTGAGGGTAGTTGGAAAGGAAGTACAGAGAGTTTTGGAAAATGACAGAAGAAGTCACAGAACCCATTTTCAATAGGAGCAAAGATGATAGTGACATAATGGTTTTTATAGAATGAAAGTAGAGAGGGAAAAATCTACTAACAAGAAAGCCCTAGTGCTAAACTACAGGGACAAGTTATGACACTGGTGAGCAGCATTACAGCCTCCAACTTGTATGACAAGCAGTTCCATCTGTGCACTGACGACCAGAAGAGGCAAGTCGGAAGGCTTATGACCTGACCCTGGTGGTGGTGGTGATGATGATGATGATGACGACAACAACAACAATAATAATTACCAAGAGGTCTCTGAATGTCTACCATGTACCAGGCACTCTGCTTACTTTGTTGTATTTGCTGTTAGGGACTAGTACAGTAGTTTTACATCCCACAATATCTTAAATACCATTAAAGGGGGGGCTGGAGAGATTGTTCAACAAATTAGATCACGGACTGC